ATCTTTAGGATTTCATTTTATTAGATTTGGTATATTGCTTGGTATATTGGTATGTTAGATTTGGTATATTGGTATACAGTCCCTCAAGATCTTTTTGGATCATGATTCTATCATCCAGAATATTAACTATTCTTCCATTGGCCATCTCCACATTTGACAAAGTTTTATTCAATTCATTTATAAGCTATTGAAAAGGATAGGGTCAAGGACTAGGTTCCACAGTGTGTCTCTAAGTGAGATCTCCTTCTGGAATGACATTAATCTATTAATCAACCTTCTTTGGGTCTATTTGTTCAACCATTTTCAAATTCACCCAGCTGTGTCATCATTTGGCTCATATCTCTCCATCTTGTCCATCAATATATTGTGAGCTCACATATTTGTTGTGGACTTCATTCTCAAATGTGTTGTTAAGTGCTCTTCCCATATATCTTATTTTTTTTCAGGTTACTTTGTTATGCTGCCAGGTGTCTTAGAGATTCATTTGAGTTAATGAATCATTAGCATCCTGATTCATTCAACAAATGCTTGTTAAAGATCTACCGTGCTAGCGTTAGAGACAATAAGAGGATAAATATGTCTTTACCTGCCCTCAAGGAATTTATAATTTAATAGGAGAGATATGGCTATAATATCACTTTGAATATGACAAGCATACATGAGTACAAACAAAATGCACATACTACTGGGAGGGTTAAGAGATCTATTTGTCACTGATACCTTAGTGTAAAAGGATAGATTATTTCATGGTCCTTTCCTCTTCAATTTTGTGTGTTGCTCTTTAACACATTAGTTTAAGACAATTATATTGAACTACGCAAATCCAGGACTAAATTTGACTGAAATCGGGAAATTGTGAATTGTAGTGACTAAATTAGATCATTAACAGTTGACACCATTCTCCTCAAAAGTTAAATACCTCCAAATATACTGCTTCGGAGCATCCATCTTTTTACATGCTCATATACATACCTACATACAATCATGGACACACATGTACATATGAACTTACATACATACCTTAATGATACCATCAGAGAGAAAAGCTGGATCTACCTGAAAGCAATGTATAGTAATAATAGCTAACATTTGTACTGTGCTTTACATATATGATCTTATTTGGTACTCATAACCACCCTGTGAAGTGGGTACTATTATTATCTCCATGTTACAGATAAGGAAACTGAGGCTGAAAGAAATTAAATGACTTGCCCAGGGCTGCACAGCTAGTGTCTGAGGTGACATTTGAACTCAGGTCTTTCTAACTCCAAGTTTGTCACACAGCTACATAGCTACATCTACATTGTTTGCTCTAGTCTGAACTCTACATACATTACAAGCACCAAGGAATAAATGAAGGAACAGGTAAAGGTAGAAGTCAAAACCTTTTGGGCCCTATAATTGTATTATAAGAAGTTGTTTCTCAAGTTATTTTTCCACTATAGGCCCAATTCTTCAAGAGTATTGGCAATATGATACTTCAAATAATTATCCTCTATATGTAATTTTATATACATGCAATCATGTGTCACAGCACATTAGCAGGTCCCGAATTTCTCCATGTGTGCCATTCAACTCCTCCTCACACCTTAAGACTTCCATAATTCCCAACCTTCACCCCAGTTGCAATTTGCTTCCTGTCCTACCTTGATTCACAGTTGCAAATTAGTATGTAAATTTGCCTCCTCTGCTGGGAATCCTGGGAAAATAAATGAAGAAGAGGAATCTCAAGGCTTCAGTAATGGGTCTAGAGACCAGACTTCTGGGAATCCTTCTTTGCTGCCAACTCAAATGTTTAGTGTCCCTGGATGCCTTGTAGCAAAGAATGTGGTGCCATTAGCAAAAACAAAACAAAAACAGGTTGAGAATTGCTAGTATGCAATCAAAACATGACCCTGGCTTCTAGCCTTAGTAATTCCTTGTGATTTTTAACTTCATTCTCCTAAAGGCCTTATATTTATAAGGTGAGAACAAGGGACTCAAACAAGTTAATTCAAGCAATTATTATTATTTTAGAAATTCCTTTGACTCTTCCATGTCCTAATTTATGTAAGCTGCTGCTCTAAGAATGCTCTGTCTGGGATTTTGAAAAATGAGTTTTAAAGCTAAAATAAAAGTGGACAGGGGCAGGTAGGTGATGCAGTGGATAGAGAACTGGCCCTGGATTCAGGAGGACCTGAGTTCAAACCCAGTGTCAAACACTTGACACTTACCAGCTGTGTGACCCTAAGCAAGTCACTTAACCCCATTGCCTAGCTGAAAAAAAAAAGGATAAAAAAATAAAATAAAAATGGATAGAAATAAAATGGTTGGTTGAACTCTCCAGATTGAGGTCAAAGGAGCTTAAAAATATCATATTTTAATTTTTAAAGTTTTATTATTGCTTAGTACTTTTTTTCTCCCTAAAAGGGAATACTTGAGTTGAGTTTTGAAGAAAGTCAGAGATTATTCTAGGATAGGGAGGCTAGGAGGAGCAGCATTTCAGGCATAGGAGACACCCAGTGTCCATAGAAGACAGTGTATTCTCCATACATAGCTGGTGTAAGGAACAGCAAATAGGCCAGAATTGTTGCATGGTGGGGAGTAATGTGCAAGGGTAGAAAGATAAGAAGGAGATGTCTGTGAAGAATTTTAAATGTCAAACTGAGGAGTTTCTATTAGATTCCAGAGCTAATAGGTAGTTGTTGGCATTTCGAGTGTTTGGGGGCAGGGGGAGAGAAGCAGAAAAGAGAGGAAGATGATTAGACCTGAGCTTTTGTTATGAGAATAACATGCAATAGTGCATGTAAAGTGCTTTGCAAACCTTAAAACACTACATAAATGGGAGTTATTTTTATTCCAAATGTTGGCTACTCTGCATAGCACCTGGTATGTAATACTTAATAGATGCTTGTTGACTTGATTTAACAAACTGGAAAGTTTTTAAGTATGGGCTGATGATGGACTAAGTGTGGAGGGGCTTATCATCAGAAAGTTGGACAAGAGACAATGAATTATTTTGGCCACAGTAACTCATGGAAACTGTCTACCACAGCATAGAGGGCATGTGATCTGTGCTGGTGGAAAAAAGAGTATCTTCACTGATGTATTTTGGATCTTTTGAAGTATTCAAGTATGCAATCAAGTTCTATCCCAAGACATCCAAATGAATCTAAACACATATTTCTGGAAATACTAGGTAAAATAGCTGTCATTTGTCAAAGACATAAGTTACATTCTCATTCACTTGCACGTATTTGAAAAAAATCAGTAAGAGTTTCAGGATCCAAATTAAATTTTAATTTGAATTCCTCCCAGCTTGATATGCTTTCAGAAAGGGAAGTAAAGCAAAATGTATTGCATATATATCCTGTGGCTTATTTACTCTTTTCAGATAGTGTAGGAGATAGAGCATTGAACTTGAGAAGACCTATGTTCCAATCCTGCCTTGACACTTACTAACAGCTGTGTGACCGTAGGCAAGTTATTCAATCTCTCTGAATCTCATGCAATTACAACTGTGATTTGTTGTAGGAGTTACTAGTAGGCCCTCACAATCTTGTGAGGGAGGCTCATGACTCAGAAATTGAGTAAAAGAGGAGATAAATAGTTTTCTTGATGAAATTCAGCCAGCAGACGAGGGATAAAGCTCAACTGGAAAGTTCAGAGTTAAGTTTTTGCAATAAGTAGACAGCTTGACAATGTGACTGAGATCACGGGTCATCCATTGGTCCTGGAAGCATTCTTTTTAGTGGGAAGAGTACTAGAAGGTCTTGGAATCAAATGGCTTGGGATCTAGTTTTGAATGAGTAACTTTCTGGCTCCATCACTTAGTTTCTCATTTGATATCATCACCACCTGATTTGAAGAAAAACTACCATAAACATTGAAACCATTTTGGAAATGACTCAACTGTATTTCTCTTTAAAAAAAAAATGAGATTTCTCTTAAAGAAGCAGTGGGACAAAAATATTTATAGCAGCTCTTTTTGTGGTGGCAAAGAATTGGAAATTGAGAGGATGCCGATCAATTGGGGAATGGCTGAACAAGTTGTGGTATATGAATGTAATGGAATACTATTGTGCTATAAGAAATGATGAACAGACAGACTTCAGAAAAACCTGGAAAGATTTGTATGATCTGATGCTGAGTGAAGTGAGCAGAAGCAGGAGAACATTGTACATGGTAACAGCCACGTTGTGCGATGACTAATATTGATAGATTTAACCCTTCTTGGCAATACAAGGACTAAGACATCTCCAAAGGTCTCATGATGGAAAATGCTATCCACATCCAAAGAAAGAACTATGGAGTTTGAATGCAGATCAAAGGATACTATTTGCTATTTTTTTCTTCTGTTTTGTTTTGTTTCTTCTTTCTGGTGGTTCCTCCTATTGGTTCTAATTCTTACTTACAACATCACTAATGTGAAAATATGTTTAATAGGAATGTATATGAATAGCCTATATCAGATTACACACCAACTTGGGGAAGGAGGTGGAGAGGGAGGGGGAGAAAATTTAAAACTCAAAAGCTTATGGAAATGATTGTAGATAAATCAAAATAAATTAATTAAAAAATAAACATTATTGGAAACAAAGACTGTCTCTTCACTAGTAGAAAAAAAAAAAGAAGCAGTAGGACAGTAGATAGACAGCTGGTCTCAAAGCCAAGAAGACCTAGGATTAAGTTCTGTCACTGACACACATTGTCAGAGTGACTCTGGGCAAGCTGATCTCAATGTTCTAGGCAGCTCTTAAGTTTGCAGAAAAGACACCTCCTTCTTTTGGTAGAGGGAGTTTCCTCACCTCGGATTTCCCAATACCTATAGAATTGTCCCTGTTCCTATTCATGTATCTCTCTCAAAGCAGAACTATGAGATGATTTTAGGTTATTCAACTCTGCAAATATACTTCTTTCTCTGAAGGGGAAAGTACCAGACAAACCCAGGCTTTAATGAAATAAGGGAGAAAAACAGAAGCAGGAATAATTACGAAGTAATTGAATTGGACATACAGTACCTGCCAGGGTTGAAATGCAGCTGGATTCTGGCAATTTCGGTCTCTGCATTGATCCCGAATAGCATAGGCAAGAGCAGATATGGCAAGTTGAACACTGTGGACATGACCTGGCTCAGCATTGTCCAACAGGAAGTTATTTCTCAGGGAGAAATTGCTTTCCACCATTCTGAAGTCCCAGTTCCCCTGAGAATAGTTGGCAATACAATAATTCAAGTCATTGTCATTAACATGTGAACAGGATGACAACAGCATAATATATTCACTTAGGAGCTTGTTTTTTTTGTTAGGCAAGTGGTGTAGATTTTGGAGGAAGTCATGGAAAGAGGACATATTTCCACCTTTAAATGCAAACCCCACCACCTTGCCAATGCGTTTGACATTTGGAATGGTACTAATCTTGACAGCTGCTGACCAGGCATCACTGGCAATCCAGACCTTATTTATATTCCTCTCAATGGCCTTATTAAAGAGGTTGAACACATGGAACTGCCTCAGAAATACCACAATGACATTGACATGCCTTTCCTCCATGATTTTTTCAAGTGTCTGGTTGATTCTGACCTCAATGGTACTATCAGAGAGGAAAGCTGGGAGGATCTCTTTGAATGCAATGCACAGGTTGTTTGCTGAGGCCTGCATTCCAAATGTGCCAAGGGCCAAGCGTCCATAGTCATCATCAGTGGTGATAATGCCAATCCAGTTCCACCCAGACTTCTGGATCAAGTGTGCCATGGCCTTGGTTTGGTAGAAGTCACTGGGCACAGTTCGAAAGGAAGAAGGAAAGCGTATCTTATCACTTAGGATTTCTGCTGTGGAGGCATAGCTCACCTAAAAGTAGATCAAACAATTCAGTTATAGAGAAGGATGGTGAGTCCCAAGTGGCTGTTAAATGGTCTGAAGTCATGTTAATTCTTCCTCACCTTAATTTTCTCATCTACTCCATCAAGGTCCTTTTTTCCCTGACTAAATAAATCCAACCCTCACTGACCTCTCCCTCTGAATTCCTACTACAGCCATAGTCTACCAACCACACCATTCAGTACCTGATTGCCTAATATAATTTCTTTTTTTAAAAAAAATCTTTTCTGTGTGACAAAATTTTATGTGCTAAAGCATTGTCTCCAATTAGGTTGTGAGTTCCTTGAAGGAAGTGACTTTTTCAAAATATCCCTGATAGTACCTACCAGTGTGTTGAGCAAATGGTATGTATACAATAAATCCTTGCTTATTTTCTGATTCCTTTCACCTATACTGTCAAATACCTTTGCTTATATACACATAATACATGTAAATACTATTCTTTAAATTCTGATTATTTCATTTTATGAAGATATTTTTGCTTTAGTTAGCCCAGTGTGTGTATGTGTGTGTGTGTGTGTGTGCGTGTGTGTGTTTAGGGAACTTTATTTGATGAAATGTAGCAAAAGTCAATATGTGTTTGTTAGCACCTGATATTTTTTAACAGAGGTGATTCTTGAGTAGAAATACAGAGAAAACTTTCATATAGCCTTCCACGCACACGCTTGAGCAGAAAAAAGTTACATTTTAATGTAACTTTTTCTTTATGTTAGTCTTTTAATGTAAACTTTATTTTAGTTTAGTATTTCAATTGCTATCAGCTTATAATCATGGGATTATAGATTTAGAGCTAGAAAGGACCTTATAGTCCCCTCATTTTACAAATAAGGAAACTGAGACCAGAGAGGTTAGGTGATTTGCCTGAGATCTTACAGGTAGTGTGTGACTGAGTTGGGATTAGAACCCAGGACCTTCACTCCCAATCTTCTTTTGCTTCCACTGCACTACACTGCCTCCCATCATCACTGATAACGTCAACTGTCACATCATATTATCACTCTCTCTTCCATTCAGTTCAGGCCTCAGCCCACTGTCTGTCTACAATATCTGTCCAAGCTATATGTATTGATGGACCAACCAGCTTAATAGATTGTACATCTAACTGGACCTCGTAATTTGGATAATAGTTATTCTTTATTTACTTTTTTTCCTGTGAGGATTGTTAGACTGAACTCTTGAGCGTTTGTGTCTTTCATTTAGTACACTCTGTAATATTTTGGCACTTCAAGCAATTAACACAAAGCAAACAGCATATAAATGAATTTATGATCTATAGGCAGTACATCATACATTTGGACTTCATGTTAGACATCCTTCATGACAATGATGAATACCTTTGATGAGCATATCTCTTTCTATTTTATATATCACTTGATATTATTAACCAGAGAACCACTGAACAAAAAAAAAATCCTTGTTACATCTATCAAAGAATTTTGTATGATCTTAAAACAAGAGTGGGAGAAATCTTGTGGGAGGTGAAGCTTTGCAGCTATAGCAAATATTTGATCTTTATCAAAAGAAGAGACATAAAAACAAGGGCAAAACAAGGTTAGAATAAAAGCTTATTCGCTAAAAACTTTACTGAGGAGGAGGGTGGAAAACTATGAGCAGTATCCCCTTATAAGCTCAGAGGGAAAAACAGTGAAAGAGAAAACAAGTTTACAGAAAACTTGGCATGACACCTGATTATGACAGGTAACTATTTATGACCTTTTATGGCCAGAACTCTTTAAAGATGAACTCCAAGAACAGATGAACAATGGAACAGATCTTTTAGCATTTTCTATGTGTAAAGTATTTTAAATTCATGATTTCTAGAGTGCTTTCTAGATTTAAATTTCAAAATCTTATGATCTTCATGCTTCACGCTACTTGGCCCTCTTGGGAGTAAGAGAAAACCTTTGCTGTGTCTAGTTTTCATAGAGTAGAAGAGAATTTTAGCATTAGAACAGACCACCTAATGTATCCTCATCATTTTGTAGATGAGGAATTTGAGACCCAAAAGCCATGAAATCACTCAATTAAGGCCACATACATACCTAGTAAGAGGCCAAGCCAGACTTGAAAACAAGATCTTCCAAATTTATGCTACTTTGTGTGAAGGCAACACAAGTACCTTTCTAAACTAATGAGGAATCAGCATTTCCATTAACCAAAAAATGACATACTGGCTAACTCATTTCCCCAGGTTCTTTACAGGTCCTCTTGCCCAGGGAAGACCTCTATCATGCATGTTCAAAAGTAAACTATAAATGAATGAAAAAGCACTCATTAAGTGCTTATTGCATGCAAAGCATTATGCTAACCACTGTAGATACAAATAGAAAAGCAAGGCAGATTTCAAGAGAAGACATACCTGTGGAATGAGCCGTAAATTCAACATCCTGGAAACAGCCATGGTTATTTCTGAGTAGCTGGCTCCTACAACAGCTTTAATTCTTGGTGTGTAGTTGGAGTAGTTGCACTGAAACTCCACAACGTCTTGGGAGCAGTTGAAGTTAGAGAGGAACCTCAGCGTGGCGGCTATTGCTATTGTGACTTCAGTGCAAGTGTCATAGATCTCATACCCCAGTTTAACTCCAGGTAACAGTGAGGAATTATTGATTACCTCAATGCTGTGTATCATGGCAAGAGTTTGAAGAAACATTGAGATTTCAAAGCTGTCAGGAAATAAGTATTTTTTTTTTAAATAGGACATTATATGTTGATAAGCTCTAGTGATGCCTTGTTTCTCTGAGATCTTTGGGTAATGAAATGCTCTACATAAGTAAATTATTCAGATAACTGAAGCTTATTTTTTTCAAACTTTGTCCATTTGAGGTTTTTTTCTTTTTGGTGAAAATATTTCTCTGTTGCACACTTTGACTTTTGAAGCAGAAAATTATAAACATAACTTTGGCTTGATGACTTTAGGTTATCGTTATGATTATCTGCTCTTTTAATGTTTCTGTCTCCTCTTCATAGACACACCACTATGTTTTAAGGGAATCTGACAGTGGGCTGTGAGATTAAAAACTATTAACTGTCCTTTCTCACAGCTGTCACTGATCCTGCCTCTCAATCCCTACTCCCCTTCCAGTTTGCTGCTTCTAACCTCCCTTCAGCAGGCAAAATTTTTAATCAAGCTCATTTGGAATTATATATTAAATAATAATCAATAAGATTGAATGAGAGCCTATATCCTGTCTTGTTGAATAAAGTGTCTAGTTTCACTTGATGCTTGTGATAGCTATATCCAGGACTCAGAAGCCAACTTCTATTTGTTTTACTATTTCTGACTAGAATGAGGGAAGTGTTGAGGTTGTTGTCTATCTGTAAGGGTGAGTGGGATCTTACTTTATCATATTGTTATTCTGCAGCTTGTTTTTTCATTCACTAGCATTGCTTATGTTAAGAAAATGTAGTCAATCAACATTTTTGGTATATCTAGACTTGAGGCATGATGATAAACCACTATTAAATGTTCACTTCAAAATGTTGCAATGGGGAGGAAAAGGTTTATTGTATTTGGTCTATCAATTAAGTCCCATAACAGCTTTCAGTATTTTTCTCAAGAGATAGTTCTTCATTCTTGGAGTTTCTAAGAGAGTTCTAAAGTTATATGGAGAGTTTATAATTCAGAAAATTTTATTATATGGATATACATATGTTTATGCATATAAATACTATATAAAATATATAAAATCAATATACACAATGATGTTACAGAATGGAACATTTTATTGTCATCTTGATTTAAAATTTCAAGTCAGACATTTTGGCAAAATGCCAACTCTATTCTCCCTCATTGACTTAGTTAAATATGTCTCCAAACTTTGGCTATTCTTTGGGTACCAAGGAGACACTTTGGGGAGCAGAATTAATTCTCTATTACGTATAGCTGGAGTGAGTGAAGGCAATTTACAGAGTATCTAATTTCTATCATGAGATACATCTATGTTCTAAGGGAATCTGACTTAGTGGGCTATCAGATAAAAAACTAGAGGGATTTATAAGGAATAAAACTGCCTGATACTAAAAAAAATCTCTAAAGTTTACTTCTTATTTAGTAATTTTTTTGATGAGGAGAGAAAAAGATGGGAGAGAGAATCATAGACTCATAGAATCTTAGGGTTTATCTAATTCAACCTTCATTTAGGAAACTACTCTACACTATTTCCAGCAGTTAAAAATGTCATGATGTGGTAGACATGTCATCTAGCTAAAGTTTGAATATCTCTAAGTGACAACGCAATTATTATAATTTTCCATTCAACTTAAAAATAACTCTAATAATTGAAGAAGTTCTTTCATATATTGAGTTAAAATAAACCACTTCCCTGAAACTTTTGCCCATCAGTCCTTGTTCTACCCTCCCTTCACCCAAAGAACCTCACAAAAGCCCTTTTTTCTATAGAACAGCATTTCAAGTATTTGAAAATAGTTATTCATGTTGGAGGTAATGGTTGGCCTGAGTGATTCTTCATGTCCCTTCCTATTATAAGAGTCTATACTTCCCCTAAGTCTTCTCTTTTCCTGGCTAAACATCATAAGCTTGTCAATGTTCTTTAAATGTGGAAGCCAGAGATGAATACAATAGACTTCATGTGGTCATACTAGTTTGGAATACAGTAGAACTATCACCTTTAGACACTGTGCTATTATTAGATTTTTTGGTTATCCACATTATAATCCTAAAACACATTAAATTTTCAAGCATCTAAAACTAATAGTCCTTTTCTAACATAAACTATTATGTCAGATTTTCCATCTCATATATGTGTTTAGTTGATTTTTTTTGGACTTAAGTGTAAGATTTTATCTTTGTTCACATTACATGTCATTTTATTAGAATCAATATTCAAGATCTTGCCAGTTCTGCCATCCAGTTTTGACCGTACTTTCTATGTCTTTATCCAGTCCACTGATTAAAAAAAAAAAATTGAGCAGAGTAGGACCAAGGACAGAGCTCTGCTGCTAGAGATCTGTCTCCAGATCAGTGCATTCACTCAACTTTTATTTAGTACTTAACATATATGCAATGTGCTATGCCAGGCTCTGGGGATACAAAAACAAAACAGCCTCCATCCTCAAGGAGCTTATATTCAATTCCTTGATGGTGGGGTGGGATTAGAATACTGGTACATAGATATAGATAGATACTACAAAATGTATGCAAAGTAAAAGTAATGTAATTTGGAGGCTAACTAAAAAGAAAGACTATGGCACCTGAGATGACCCTTGAAGGAAGCTGAGCTTTTGTCATCCTTATCCCCTTTCCCTTTTCTTTCTGTAAATACATTCACCCTAGAGGTTCTCATTCAGTCTCATAGCTTTAACCACCACAATTATGTAGAAGATTCTGGCCCTCAACATTTCTTCTGGGACCAGGCCCACCTCTACTTCATCATGCCCCAAACTCAGCTTCCTTTTTAACATATAGTTTCTCCTCCTGACTTCACTCCTTTAGTTAGTGGTATCATCATTCACTCAGGCTCTCATGTTTGAAGCCTTGGTGTTATGTTTAACTTTTTAATATCCCTCACCTCTCATGTTCAAGTAGTCATCAACTCCTATATCCTGTAGCACCTCTTGCACTAATTCCTTTCTTTCTATTCTCTATGCTTTCCTCCCAGTGAGATCCTACTTATCATCTGCCTATATTGATGCTGTAACTTCCTTTCAGGTCTTCCCTTTCTCATTACTTACTGTCTCCATTCATACATACATATTACTGCCAGACTAATTATCATTCTTTGTAGACTTAGGCATATCCGAAGTCTAGGACATACTCCCAATGACTCACTATTGCCTACTGAGTAAAGTTCAAAACCCTCTTTTGAGAATGATTTAAAAATATGCACTGCTTAATCACCTGTGCTAACACAATAACAGGTTAGGAATCACTGATACACCCAAATTTGCTTTATGTGCTTGTAGTGAGGGATAGGCTATTATATCTTCTCATTCATCTTCTTAGCCTTTCAAAACATTTGCTCAATAAAATCTCCAAAATAAATCAATTGAAGTTATATGTTATTCCTAGCTTTGGAGGATACATTGAACTTCTGTAGCAATGAATGTTTCTCACTGATTCACTGGATATATACAGCTAACAAAGCATATGTAACATGAAAATCAAGTTCTTCATGGATTTCAATTTTATGAGAGCTATTTAGATGGTAATAGGAGTAAAAGGGAACAATTAACATGACTGGCTCCCATGGCATAATCTTGACATTTAATATGTGTTCTTTGTGGCATTACTTACCCCTCACAAGTCTGGATTTTTGGTCTTCTGGGATATTCTTCTGAATGGATCATTTTGTTATGAACTGCAAACAAACCTCCAATCATAATATGTCCTGGAGAGCTGGCAGCCACAAAGCCATCAGGAATCTGGCAGGGCTGGGAGAGATTGAAAATGGTCACAAAGCAGTGAAACAGTATTCTCAATAATGCCATGTTTCCATTCCATTTGTTCATTTTATGTGAATGCCTGGGAGTCAGTTAAGCTCACTGGAGGGCCAACAACCTGGGTTTTATTTCATCTGTAAACACCAGGGAAGGTATGGGGAACAACCAAAAGGTGAACATACTAAATAACCATGTGCCTGCTGATAGTAGAAACTGAACTTGTTTTTTCACAGATTGTCTCAAACACCAACATGAAAAGAAAAACACAGAATAATTTACAGATGGTTTTTGTGTATATCTTATTTTGACATAAGTATTTTTACTACATTAAGGAAAAAGGCAAAGAAAAAAATGTGAGTTCTTTCGCAAGCTGCATAAGGTAACTTCTCTCAGTGTTGTGTCTCTTTCTGACTGAATAAAATAAAATGAAATAATTTAAATACTACATATTACTACTATTTAAGTACTACTATGAATAAGGCACTGTGCTTGTCAATTTTTCACTCTTTTTTTCCCCTTCCCTCCCTCCCCCCCCCTTTTTTTTAATATTTCAGAGGCTATCAGGATTAAGTGACTTGCCCAGGGTCACGCAGCTAGTAAATGTCTGAGGCCAGATTTGAACTCAGGTCCTCCTGACTTCAGGACTGGTGCTCTATCCACTGTACCACCTAGCTGCCCTCAGTTTTTCACTCCTATAGTATATCATATGTGATCTCTTTCCTTTGGAAAAGCACAGAAATATAGAAATACAATTACAAAACACTAAAACACTTCTTAGAAAAATAAATAATGAAAATGAATTGAAGGGATATCTATAGATGCATAACATAATAAAAATGAAAGCACTATAGAAATTAATTTACAGATTTATTAATCAAATCATCAAGGAGGTAGTTATATTGCTATTATAAATTTAGAAAAATACTATTTATATTTAATATTAAACTTATTTGGAGGAACAAAGGGTAAAAATCTCACAAGACGTAATGGTCAGAGTAAAATAATAATGACTTGGAAATAGCACTGTCAGATCTCAAATTACTTTTATAAGGAAAAGCTGAAATTATTTGGTACTGGTTAAAAAATAGAAAAGTAGACCAATGGGACAGATTAAGTAAGGAAGAATCAGAAACAATTAATCAAACAAAAAACTCTCCATGTTCAATAAGACCAAAGAAATAAGTTATTTGGATAAATTCCTTATTTTACAAGAACTTTTAGGAAAACTGAATAACAGTTTGGCAAAAATTAGGTATAGTCCAACATCTTTTACCATATCTTCAAGGTAAAAATGAAAATATGACTTGAATATTAAAAATTATGCTATGAAAATAGAAAAAAATCATGTATCCTCCATAGCTATGACTGGTGAAAAATCTTGACCAGGCGAGATCACAAAAGGGATCAAAAAAGTTTAAGTAAATAATTTTTTATGTGTAATTGGAATACTTTTGCATTAACAAAATCATTGCAGCTAAGATAGGAAAGCATTGACTGGTAAGAAAAAGAATCTTTCCATCAAGTATCTCTGATAAGAGTTCAACATCCAAGATATACTTACTAGCTGTGTGACCCTGGGCAAGTCCCTTAACCCCGATTGCCTCACCCCCTTCCAAAAAAAAAGTGTAATACGTTCCATTAACTAAATGTAAACAGTAAGAAAACTTGAAAAATGTATTAAAACTTGTACTGTTAAGATATAGAAGAAGTTAACATAAATAAGTAAGACCAAGAGCCATTCCCTAATAGACAAATGGTCAACAGACATGATCAAATGATTCTCAAAATTCTCAAAAGAATTGCAAACTCTTGACAACCATATGGAAGTTTCTCCAAGTCACCAAAAATAAGACAAAAACAAATTTTAAAAAATCTCTGATGTCTTGTCTTAATTCAGAAAATTGACAAAAATACCAAAAGATGGAAAAAGTGAATATCAGATTGTGGGGAAAGAGGCACATTAATACACTGTTGGTGGAACTGTGAACTGATCCAACCATGAAGTAAAGCGATTTGAAATTATGCTAAAAAGTGTCCATAGTTTTAGACTTGAAGGAAACCAGAAGGCAGGTATGAGAAGGAAGAGTATTCTAGTCATGAAGGACAGAGAAATATGCCTGGAGCCAAGAGATGGAGTGTTTTGTTTGTGGAATAATCAGGAGATATGTCACTGCTAGGAAACCTCTCAAGAAGGTCGACAAAAAAAAATCCCATATTCACCAAAATATTTAGTCAGTTAATCATTAAGCATTTATTAAGCATGTACTATGTACCAGGCATTGTGTTAAGTGTTGGAGATACAAAAGCAACAACAACAACAACAACAACAACAAACCCAGCAAAGACAGTTCCTGCCTTTAAGGTACTCACAATCTAATGGGAGAGACAACAAAAAAATACATATACATACATATGTATATATGCATATGTATGTACATATACATATATATATATATATAAAACATATTTAAATATGTGATGAATAGGAAATAATTAACAAAGAGGAGTAGAATTAAGAAGGGTTAAGGAAGGCTTACTATAGAAGCTCAGATTTTATTTGGGACTTGAAACCAGGAGGCAGAGATCAAAAGGAAGACCATTCTAGGAATGAGAGAGAGTCAGAAAAAATGCCTGGAGCCAAGAGATAGAGTGTTTTGTTTGTGGAACAGCCAGGAGACCAGAGTCACCTGACTGAAGCGTGTCTGGCTGGGAGTAAAGTGTAAGAAGACTAGAAAGGTAGGAGGAGCTAGATTATGAAGGGCTTTGTATACCAAAAAGGATTTTGTATTCGATTCAGAATGTGATAGGGAGACATGGGAGTTTATTGAGTAGGCAGAGTGGCGTTGGTGGTAACTTGGCTGAACCTTTTTATGGTAACAAGGAACTGGAATCAAAATAGATGCCCTTCAATTGAGAATGGTTAAACAAATTGTGGAATATGAATATAATAAATGTAATGTATGAATATAATAAATGTGGTAAATGTAATGTACCACAAGAAACAATGAATTTGAAGACTTCTGAGAAGTATGGGGAAGGCTTATATGAAATGGATAAAGAGTGGAGCAAGTAGGACAAAGAAAATAATATACATAACATCTGCTAAAAAGTAAGCAAAAACAACATAAACACAAATACTGAATAAATATAATGACTCAGCTTGATCAAGTAGAACAGCTGACAAATGAACCCCTCTCCATTCTTTGCAAAGGTTTGAGCTTGCAGAGGCTATGGGTTTGAGATATTACATGTACTGTCAGACACAGATGATATATTACTTGTTCTTTTCTCTTTTTATCCTTTGTTACAAGAGCTGACTCAATGGGCAGGGGATAGGGTAAGATATATACATATGTATGTGTGTATGTACACATATATATTGTATATAAATAAAGGTGGTACAAAAGCAAAATAATTTAGTGAAATTTTAAAAATTAAATATGAGGGGAAATTAATAGAGTTTCTTCCAGCAGACTTTTTAGAAGTAATGTTATTTCCTTGACTTTTTGGAAAATTATATTTGTAAGGTATCCATTAATGTCCTATTCCAGTGCCTTACTGTAGTGTGAAGGTGAACCTGTGTTCTTAAAGGCTATAATAGTGGAGCATAAGCCCTGGTGTATTTACTAAGTTAGGATGGCTTTGGTTACAATCCTTCTGGAGTGGAGATCCCTGAGAACTAACTTACTTAGTGAAGTATAGCAAGACTCATCAGATAGTTGGCTACTGGAAGATTTTTAAAATAATAATTGTTAGCATTTTCATAGTTCATTAAGGTTTAGAAAGCATTCAACATGTCATTCAATCCTCACTACAGCCCTGTGAGGTAGTTGATTTTATTATCCCCATTTCATAGATCTGGAAACTAAGTCTGAGAAAGGGTAAGTGACTTGACCTACATGGTAATACAGCTAGTAAGTGGCTGAGGCAGAATTTTAATTCAGCCGAACTCCAAGTCCTACACTCTAGCCACTATACCACCTGCTTCCTCAATCATAGTCCTTCATGAAGACTGTCTAGGAAAGAATGGAGAAAGCTGAGCTCTTCTAGGGGAAGTCAAACACTGATAGAATCATGGATTTTTTTTTTTAAGTATGAGTGATGTATTTGCATGTCAAAACACATTCAAGACCAAATGAGTATCAGACTTGTCACAGGCTTCTTAAAAATTAGTAAGTGCGTATTGTCACAGCCACACAAGCCCAAACCGAAAACATGAAGAAACTTATCCGGGATAGACCTTCACCACAAAAACAAAAACTAGCCCACAGTCACCAAAAGTTTCCTTAAGGTTTGTCTCTTTCAATTTTTGTAAACTAATTTCCATTCCTGAGCTGCTCAGGAATCTAGGTTAACTGAAGGTCTGGGCAGGTTCTTTATTGACTGTCATCTGAAAGGAAATGAATCATAAGGTATTCCTGTTCCTTTCATATAAAATTTCAGGGTTTGCTCAAAATTGCTTCCTAATGGAAATCTGAGTGGGACAAATTTGCATGGTTTTGGTTAAGAGATGCCAATGTGAATTCTCCTACGCAGGCCATACAAATCCTATTCATCTACTGGCTTCTGTGACAGATGGCAAGATGATCTTTAAAAAACTTCGTGAAAGTAGAAAAGAGGATGGAGTGATGAAGAATTCTGGTATTTCCTAGGATCAGAATTGGGATTTTATCCCATAGCACTGGCAACCTAATGCCACCCAGAGTGTAAAGCAGTCACAATTCTGCACATGTGCTATGAAAGATTTACCAAAGTCTTACCTATCATATTCACTAGGGCATTACTTGTTGGTGTTCATATTGTGACTAAGAGCAGTTAGCAACAGTTTTCTAGGAAGGTTATTACAGGATTTCTGAGTATGGGCTTTCTGAAAACACTCTACAGCTCTGTGTGTGTGTGTGTGCATGTATGTGTTCCACACCACTTGCCTTTGGATTATTCATTTGTTCCACCTCTTATAATTGGGTGCACTGCTCATGCACTGATGCATTTAGTTGCTTTGCTTTTACAATCTCAATGGTCTCCTGTAATTACAAATTTATAGATGT